AAAAAGAAGAAGAAAATTAGATGTGTCCAAGCCATCGAGAAGACGTATCAACGCATTTCCACATTTTCATAGAATAAACTCCATTACAAGGACGGTAACATAAGGCGCTCGCCTGTCCTTCACTTGATGGTGAATGGTAGTCTTTGTATCTAAGTCTTTTTCTTAAAAAAGAAAGATCGAAACGAAGATAAAATAGATGGATCCAAGACTGCTGAGGAGAAATAATGCCAACTTATTCCACGGGAGCCTCGAATAGAATCCATTACAAGAATGGCAATGTCAGGTGCTCAACCATTCAGGTCTTCAATTTGGTGGTGCCTACTCGTTCCGTACCAAAATAAATCAACGTGTAATAAGATGTGACCTAATCTAATAAAACGGGACGGAACAAGTAATTCGGAGTGTTTGTATTGAAGTCTCTATTTTATTATTAAGAAAGACAAATAGGTGGTTCCAGCGCATTCCCACAGGCACGTCGAAAATACTCCATTACAAGTAGGGATGAAACTAGTTCAGATAGTTTCCGTCCGTCCGGACCAATTTATGGATTCGGAAAAATTCGGTCGGAACTATCCGGAATTTCTCGGATTCGAAAACGAATTCGGATTTTTTTTTCTCGGATACGAAAACGAATACAGTAAGGGTGATATTCGACGGAATCGGAAAACGGTCGGAAACTATCCGGGATTTTTCATTGGATATCCAGAGATATTTTTCAAAAAAAAAAACAACAACAAAAAAAAAACCCAGAAACCCTAGCCGGCTAGCCGGCCGCGCCCAGCTGCATGCTGCAGCCATCCGTCACCGCGCGAGCCTGCCTGCTGCCGCCGCCGCCCGTCCGCTGCGCGAGCTCGCCCGCCGCCGCCGGCCGCGGGAGCCCGCCGCGGCTCCCACCCACCGACGCCGCCGCGGCGCGAGCCGCCGCTCGAGCTCGCCCGCCGCCGCCGGCCGTGGGAGCCCGCCGAGGGTCCCACTGCCGCCGCCGCCGCCCGTCGCCGCCTGCCCCGCCTCGCGAGCCCGCGCGCCGCTCTTGGCCGGTCGCCGCCTGCCGCGCCCCGCGCCGCTCTTGGCTGGCCGCCGCCGCCCTGTGCCTGTGGATGAGAGGAAGTGAAAGAGAGAGAGAGTAGAAAGTGTGTGTGAGAGAGAGAGGAGAGGAAGAGTCAAGAGGATAAGGTTGGGGGTGAAAAAAATGGTGGATTTTTTTTCAATGTAAAAATCAATTTTTATTTTATATGTGGCTCTTTAAAACGAATTTAAAGGCACTAAATCAACTCATATAAAAAAGTTGTTAAAAATAAAGTTGTATAACTTATTGAGATCTATTATTTTTATTTTGGTCATTTCTCCATCCGAGTTTGATTAAACTATATAAAATTTGAATTTAAAAATATAAGAAATTCAAATAATTTTCCAGGTTGTAAATGATTTCAAATGAAAAAATTGTCAACAACAAAGTTGTATAACACATCAACATCTACAACTTTTGTTTTGGTCATTTTTCTATATGACTTTGTTTGAACCGTTTGAATTTGAATTTCAAAATATGACAACTTCAAATAATATTTTGAAATACTAAATAATTTCAACTGAAAAAGTCATCAACAACAAAGTTGTATAACTCATTAAGATCTATAACTTTTATTTTGGTCATTTCTTCATCCGACAAAGTGATTATAACATTGTACACAAAATTTGCATTTATCTCATTTGGTTTATTAAACTATAAGAGAGATATGTAAACTTTGTGAAAAATATTATTATCAATTTATCGGATGAAGAAATGACCAAAATAAAAGTTGTATGTCTTGATGAGCTCTGCAACTTTCATGTTCGTGTACAGGTGAAATTAATTACATCTTCAAAATATTATTTGAAGTTTTGAAATTCAAATTTTTAATTGATAAAACAAAGTCACAAGAAAAAATGGCCAAAATAATAGCAGCAAGAACACAATAACATGATAGAGTATGATTTTAGAAACATTTAGAAAAAAGAATCATCTAATTTGGAGTTCATATGAGTGAGATAAATTAGTTTCAAATTTCCAAATTTTATTTCTGCATACGGCTTCTTAAGTCACCCGTATGGGAAAATTGATTTTTTTCATGCGGGTCCTTAAATGGTCCACATACAAACAAATGAAAAAATTCAATTCTGAAAAATAACCAATCAAATATTTAAAAACTTTCAATTGAAATGTTCAACCCAAAATTTAAAATATTCAACCAATTTTCAAAAATTTCAATGTGCCTATGAAAATTTTAGTGATACACATTAATTTATTTGTTTCATGATAACATAAATTTATATGGAAAGTAAACATAACATTTTCTATCTCCTCCTTGCCATTATAAATAGAGATAAAATTTAAAAATACTGATGTTTTGTTTTTGAAAACTAATGGCTACATATCTTCCTCGTTTTAAGAAGCTTATTTTGAGGGGTATTATATTTTGATAATTATTCGTTACCGTATTCGTTTCGATTCGTATTCGCTCCGTATTTGTATTCGATAATAATCGATTCCGTTTTCATATCGGGTTTCCGATTCTGATTTCGATTCCAATAAAAAAAATGAAAACGAATGATAGAGCTAGCTTCCGACCGTATTCGATCCGTTTTCATCCCTAATTACAAGGATGGCAGCTTCGTTCACTCATGGACCACTAAACTATGATGCCTGGTTCAATGTCTTTTTATATCCATCTCTTTTTTTTTTAGAAAGGAGAAAAAAAACAACAAGGTTGTACGGGTGCTGAGGAGGGGCATCAACGCGTTCCCAAAGGTGCACCGAATAGATCGTCTCTAATTACAACGCGCACACATGTCTGTTTGCCCGGTAGCATGTGACAAGCATCGACTATGAAGCAATCTTATTGAAACTGGATAAAAGGGTGGAAGGATTTCTCCTGCAAACATAATCCCAACTCAAACACTATTTCGTAGTTCCCATACTTACCATGTCATACAAACACTCTTTATACAAACTATATGTGTCAAAGGTTTGGTTTCCTCACAATAAACTCATCCAATCACCTCTCTTCTCTCATCATTTCTCTCTCTTCTAATTATCTATCTTGTCAACTTATTTTTTTTACAGCTTATTTAATGCTACAAAAACTAGCTAGGTATATGGCTGGAACTACCCTGACAAACCTCACCACCTCCATGCCCTTCACTGGCACCACCAAACCACTTGTTGGATGACATTAAAGGCAAAATAAACTTCGTTAATCTGCTTTGAAATTTTAATGTGTCAAAAAAAATCCATACTTTGAAATTTTGTTTTAAGCTTTTAACCGGAAAACTATTTTAACCCCACAAGAGGATGTTCCTTCATTTGTCTTAAAAAAATCATCCAAATAGTTATGCAGAATTTTGAAAAAAGAAATATAACATTCATACTTACAACATATATCTGCTGAATTCTTTTTCTATCTCATTGTGTTGGTCAAATTTGATATTAATTCTGGCGGACTGCTACATTTCCCTTCATTTGTCTTAAAAAAATCATCCAAATAGTTATGCAGAATTTTGAAAAAAATAAATATAACATTCATACTTACAACATATATCTGCTGAATTCTTTTTCTATCTCATTGTGTTGGTCAAATTTGAAATTAATTCTGGCGGACTGCTACATTTCATTATACTCTACATTATCAAAAATAATATTTTTCAATAACTATTCATATGGAATTTGGAAGAAAAATATACATGAGAGAACATTCCTCGGAGATATTAGAATCTATTCCAAATATGATCATATATATACTAAAAATTTAAATGTTCATGACAGTAATTCGAATTGGATTGCATTAAGTGCTTACTTTATGGGCAACAACATCTCTTTACACCACTACGGAAAGGCTCATCACTCCCGGTTTGCAACCCATTTTACTCCCGGTTTGCAAACCGGGACACCTAATCCGGGACTAAAGTTATCTATCTTTAGTCTCGGCTAAAATAACAGGGAGTAAAGATGGATTTTTAAGTCCCGGTTGGTAAGATGGCGGCACCATTAGTCCGGTTGGTTAGTTTTTTTTTCTTTTTGTTGTTATTTTTCTGCTCGCATTTATTGTCACCCTTAAATGCCCCACAAATCATTCACAACAAATCATACACAATTGCCTATCCATAAAATCATCCACACTCCACAAGTCATTCATAAAATCATCCCCAAATCTAAAATAATCCATAACAAAGTTTATAAATCATTCAAAAAAATCTAAAATAAACTCAAAAAACACAACCCTGCCGCCGCCGCCCGGTGGCCTCCCCTCCCGCCGGATATGGAGGAGGGGAGGCCGCCCGGCCGTGCGCCGCATCGCTCCCATCCCGCCGCCGCTGCCGCTACGACCGCCCGGCCACCGCCGGAGGGGAGGCCGCCACCCGCAGCTCATGCGTGGCCGCGGCCGTGCGCCGCCTCCTCGCAGCCGCCACCCGGCCTACGCCCGCCGTCGCCGGAGTGGGAGGAGTGGGGAGGGGGAGGAGAGGGGAAGCGGCCGGAGGAAGGGGAGGAGAGAGGGGGAGGGGGAGGAGGTAGAGGAGAAAATGAGAAGGGAGAAGTAGAGGACGAGTTCGATGGGAGGAGCAGAGGAGGAGGGGATCGGATAAGGACTGCTGGAAGCGCGCGCGAGTCTCTGGGGAGTTTTTCGATTTTTTTTATTTTGGGTTTCGGTTGGTACAAACAACCGGGACTAAAGATGATAGGGGTTGGTAACACCAACTGGGAATAAAAATCACAAAAGTACATGTAGGTTTTCAAACCGGGATTAAAGTTATTTTTAGTTCCGGTTTTTACTCAAACCGGGACTAATGTGATTTTTGTGTGACCTAGTAAAGATCATTTCTCCAGTAGCGTTATTAGGCAGGTTCATGAATTCCCTTATTTTATTTTTTTTACGATATATTACCCCCAAATGAGGTAAGACGAATGTCATTCATATATACAATACTAGTAATATTAGTATCATGGTATATATTATGGACGGTGTGAAACAAGTTGGGATGAGCATCATAAAAGATTCTCAAAGGCAATATATAAGGAGACCATCAGCCAGCTTCTGAGCAATACTAATTAACTCTCAAATCCCTCGCGCACACACACACGCAGACAGAGAGAGAGAGAGAGAGAGATGGCGTTATTTGGGGTAAGAGAGATGAGACGATTTGAGAGAATGACGCCGGAAAGGCGAGCTGAATATCTACTAGGCATGGCCGGTGTCGTGACGTTGGTAACGTCGATCCTCCTCCTGTTAAGCGGCAGCACCTATGGGTACGGCCCTAAGGTTTGCACCGGCCGTGGCGTCTTCTTTAGCCCCACGATCGCTCTCGGCCTCCTGCTGATGGCCGCCTTCATTTTGGGTACGTGCGGCCAGAGGTACGGTGATGAGTGCCTCTTTGGTTGCTACCTCCTCGGTCTCCTCATCGCCTTCCCCCTCCTCCTTGCCTTCATAATCTTCGGCTACGTCGCTGTTGGAGGCATCGACCTCGGCGGCGTAAGTATTCGCGAGTACAATCTGGAGGAGTACAGCGGGTGGCTCAGGGGCCGTGTGGCCGACCCGCACTACTGGGAAACAACCAGCGCATGCCTACGCGACGGGAACGTCTGCAGCGGCATGACGCGGTTGGTACGCGACCCAGACACCGGCATATTCGTCCCTGAGTTATCCCGGTATGAAAGGTGGCTCAAGGAACATGGGATTAAAAAAGGCGTGCACGTAATGTCGCCTATCGAGGTATGTACGTAGCAGCTAGCTTCGATATAATTGATGGATGATATCCCCGAGCCCAAGCTCAGGTGTAACTTCGGTATTAGCCTATGTATGTCCAACCTTAGTGTACAAAACTTGATTTATTTTGAAAGGGAGAGGGTAGTATCTTCTTTGACGTATGGGCCGGTCCACCTTTGAAACCACATGAATGCAACCGCGTGCGTGGTGACGGTTTTTTGTTTAGGTCCGACAAAGATGACCACCATCGATGACGGCTCTAACACATATGAGTTTCCACATCGCTGACCACTAAACCGCTACCAGACCGTCTGACATAGATGAGGGTTCCCGCCAGACAGAAATGACTTGATTCGCACTAGCGCACTCGGGATGAAGCGGTGCACCACTTTGTTTTAGGGAGTTCAAAAGACTTCCAGCTTAGTATACGTACGTTGTGCTAGGTTAATTATAGCTTGCATTTCATTTTTTTTCTTTCCTTTCCTATTCCCTGCTTTATTTTTTCAGTGATGATGATATATTTTGTTCAATACTTCTTTATTTATGAGCAATTCTACGGTTCTTAGGAAGGTACCATGAGATAGCAAAATTTACACTTAAATTTCGGTACCTCACAGTACCTAGATACCATGAGTTACCAAATTTACAATAGAAAAAATGGTATTTCATGGTATCTCCTCAAGGACTTTAAAATTGCTCTTTATTTATTCATTTCGATATTTCACTTAATTGGAACCTCGCCTTATAACTGAATATATATATGCTGCACTTGGCAGTCTGGATGCTGCAAGCCACCGACATCATGTGGTTTCAGATATGTCAACGGGACGACGTGGATACCAACACCAGCAGCAGCAGGCACCCCTGCCGCGGCGACCAACGTCGACTGCAGCAGGTGGAGCAACAACCAACAGACGCTCTGCTTCCAGTGCGACTCATGCAAGGCTGGCTTCCTGGACGACATCAAGAAAGCCTGGAGTTTCGATGCCCTGTATCCAATTCTCGCGTTGGTCGGAGCCTTTCTTTCATGCTTTGCAGGCGTCAAGTATTGGAGACCAAGACTAGACACTGGGTACTCACTAATTAGAGAACGAGCAGTGGCTTAATTTAGACGGCTAATATCTGCGTATAATCTTTTCACGTAATGCATAGGCGACATACTTATAGACGACGCGTACAGTAAGATTATAAGAGTCGTCTCTCTTTTATAGACATGCTATTTGTATTATCAATATGCTTTGACTCTGTAAATAGCATGCATAATGAGTGTATGGTATTAAGCCATCTATATTGAGAAAGGCTCTCTAGTGTAATATCATACTAGTTCTGGAATTTAATCTGAATCGTCGGTTTTTATAAGTGCATATATCGGTACTTTATTAACTCAGCGATTAGGGTACGCAATATTAATTTTGGCATTTTGGTTATTATCCATTCACCAGTCTGTCATTTTTCCATTCATTTGTGCGGTATCGCTACTTTGATGTCAGCATCCTTCCGCTGCCGGTCACGCTCAGCAAACTTCCAGCCGGCGTCGTCGATCGTTAAAACTACTACTACCTCCTCCGTTTTAGTACGTAAGATTTACTTGTATATGTATATATATATATATAACTAGATTCATTAACATCTATATAAATATAAAGACTTATAATATAAAACGGAGGAAGTAGTATTAACGGCATGAATAAAAAGCCGAATATGATCGTTAAAGGTCATTATTTTTCTCATCGTTATGGTATTAACTATAAAGTTTTCCTTCCGTCGTTTTCTGTTATATATTAAGAGTCCATTAATATTTTTCAAAACGATCTTAAACCGTCACGTGACGCTCTAACAAATTAAAAAAATCTGAGAAAAAACAAAACATTTATCCCTCGGTTTTAAATTAAATTAATGGTTCTAATATTATAAACCGTTATATTAGATTATCTTAAAATAAAACGAAAAACCAAAAGTGACTATACTGTCCCATCTCAACTTCCATGGTACGGACGTACGTGCGTTAGTATGTAACCTTTTTTTTTCTTTTCAATGTCTATAGTTGAGACGTTTATTATTATTATTATTATTATTATTATTATTATTATTATTATTATTATTATTATTATTATTATTATTATTATTATTAAAAGTGATAATAAATTTTAATAAAGGTTACTTTAAAAAAAATAGAATATATCTGCATACAACTCTTTTACAAGTAGACAACTAGACATAAATGAATTACTCTACAATATTTGAAAACAAAGTTTACACCATTATGTTATGTACCCATTATTTTATATTATTTATTAATAAAAAAAAGTTTCCATCAATTTTCACTTAAACGGATGGACCTATTATTTAGTCCATTAGATCTATCTTTATTTAAAAACCAAGCCTTGGAAGACGAACTCTCTCTACACCTTAACGCAGGTGCGTATCTTTGCCTTCCACGCGCATGATAAAGTAAAGTGTTGTGGCAAATAAGGTGATCATGACATTTGCAACACTATTGCGCGCTTTGCCGAGGTGAAGACGTATCAAATCTTAAATGGATAATGATTGGGCTTTTTTAATAACTTGAAAACAAATTGAATATGTGGTGTAGAGCGGAGAAAAATCTAGCACCGCGAGTTGAATATAATTAATTTCTCTCTTTATGTATATAAACATGACGAAGCTATAAAAGTATTATCCGATGTCACATACATATATATTACACATGTAATAATCTATTTACATGTGTTAATTAAGAACATACTTTGGGAAGAAAACATTCTGTGCCACGTGTCCGACGCATGAGAGAGGAGCGGCGTGGTCTCATGTAAAATAAATGAGTAGATAAATTTATATAAAATATGGTCTATACAACTATAAAAAGATAATGAGTGAGTGGAGGATGTCACCAAGCAATAAGCAGACTCAAAATAATGACAAATAGTTTACTTCTATATTTTATCGAGTGATGGCATGATGTGTCAGTTGTATAAAAAAGTTTTTCTTTGATTATGAATAATGACAAAGACAGCAGTATGAAGGGATGGGAATATGTACTTATTTTTTAACTTAAAAAAATATAGGCAAACCATTTATTTTGTTAAATAGTCATGGTACAAAGTTAATGATTATAAATCGTATGGAACTTATTGATTATAATTTACATGACAAACTATATTCTTGATATAACCGTATTACATGATAGAAAAAACTTTACTTAAAAGAACTCCAAAATTTATAAGTAAACTATACATACTAATTAAATGTACATAATTATGGTCTTATTACAAAAAAATTATTGTTTCAACAAAAACAATCGAATATGCAAAAATGAAAGAAATTAACTTCAAACAATTTTATGTTTTGCACTACAAAGCCAAGCAATTATGTAAGTATTTGTGTGCACCAAAACCCTTTAATGTTCTTTAAAACTATAGATAAAATATTGTTGAACTTATGTAGAGGAAAAAAAATCTAATTTTTAATCTACCCTTGATTTAATCTACGCCTTCACGAGGTGATTCAATCACAAGAACTTTGAGTAACTTGATCTTGTAATTTCCGCTTCTAGCCGTATTTACACGGCATGTGTACTGCATGATATGCATGATAATTACCTAGCGGTAGTTTAATATTTATTTTATACAAAAGTTGTATGAAGTTAATGTATCATCTATTCAAAAGTGAATGAATGGTTTTTGAGAAATGCTAAAAAAAAAGAACCCAGGATATATTTTAAAAGGACATTCGTTGACTATCTATGAGATAATTGTTGAACAAAATATAATATTACCCTTCAACATATAATGCCCGCGCAAAAGCGTGGGCTACCTTTCTAGTGACCGTGATATTATGTCATCGTCTTCATTAACGATCGTGATATTGTCATTGTTATTTAATTAAGGGCTGTTGCTATCATTATTTCACTGACGATGGGGGTATTATACATCCTTATTTTATTTATGAACACTTCCTTATATAAAATCACCGAAAATATCATTAAGCAATAATATATAATTGTGTGCACTCACAAAGAAACACTTCATTTATTCATAGAATTATTGGAAGCTTACAGACCCCTCCGTTCCAAAAAAAAAAAGTCCAATCCTAGCTACAGAACTGGACATATGCGTGACCAGATTCGTACTTAGAGTTTGACTTTTTTTTTCGACAAAGTAGTACAAATTTATAGCTTCTTGGTTTCACAACGGGAATACGGCTAGAAGAATAACTATGCTGGCATGTGTTTGTTCATCATCGCGGATTGCACATTAGGTGATCAAGTTGATCGATCTTATTCAGCATCATCCCTCAGTACATAGGTATCCTGCCATTCAATCACTTGGACACAAAGTAGATTTGTGGGGGCAGCGCACGGTGCGGTGCGAGTGGTGTGGGACGGCTCGGCGCGTCGCTTGCCCGGCTTGGCATTTTGTCTACCAGGTGGCGGGCAGGTGGCCCGGCGAGGCCGTGTCGGCCCAGGAGGGAGGAGGGTAAAAAGTGCGAAATACCTAATAAGCAGAACGTTCGCTCTAATACTTTACCGCGAACAGCTCGGACAGGTTGACATGCATGACTGAAAAGGCTGTCACGCGTCAGCTGGGGCCCTTGAATGCAGTGTCCTTTCTTTTATAGCTAAACTGTGTACGTATATCTTTTTTTTTCCTTTTTAATCTCCGATTTTTTAGGGATTGATCACGTATGTGATTTTTTTTTCTGAACAACACATGCACAAGAATAGGAAAGATTCTTGGGAATTCTTACTCAATGTGTGCCCACATCCGCCACTTTTTATTTAGGTTAGTTTTGACCCAATTGAAATTTAATAGTTTTTTATTTTTGAATTTATTTTAGTTTCGTTTTAAATTCATCTGTGTATAAATTTTGTATATCGAAAGTTTATTTATATAAAGTTTACATGCCAAAAGTTTATATATGTATAAAGTTTCTATATCAAAGTTTTTATATATAAAGTTTGTATGTATAAAGTTTAAATTTGGGTTTAATGTTTGTGAGTAGAGATGCTAGTAATTTGAATATGATTTTATTTGAATGAAAAGCTTAAAAAAATGGGTAAAAAATCTATTGAATTGAAGATGTTGCTATAAAATAAAATAAAAATACATTTACCTAGCCTAGTTACGTAGTATAATGGTTTAATTACAGATCATACTAGTTTTATCGGTAGAAACAACATGATACATGCAGCTGATTAAGTGGCAGCATGCATGGTTGCATGCTCGATGTGTGCATGCAGGTGCCTGGCTGCCTGCAAATCATGCCACTAATCCCTAATTAAAACGCGTAAGCGTAGAAGGTTAAGGTGATACTAGTAGATGATAAAGTCGATTTGTGGTCTGAAAGTGATCGCGATCCGCGAACGTTCGCGTATTAGCCCCACCCGGGCGGCTGCTATGCTGGGCTGAGGCCTGAGGGAGAGGGGCTAGGAGGAGAGTTAGGGCCTCAAATGAACAGGATTTTTGTTTTATATTTGCTTGGAATTTTGTAATTTGGAAATGAAAAAAGGATTGAATTGGAATGTAATTTGTATTCAAAATTTGAAACTGGACTGTTTAATTGGACATTCCAATTCAACATGGTTATTACGGGGTGCAGGGATTAGTTATAGAATTTCGAGAAATTGCTTGGATGGATGGATTGTTTTTGAAAACAGATTTAGAATTGTCGTCACATATTAAAATTCATCGGCAGTTTTTTTGGCTATGAAGGAAGGGACTATTACAGGGTGTTTCGGATAAAGTTGAAATATCATGAAAATGGATCCGAAGAAAATAAATGCAAATAAACGAAATTGGGATTTAGATCCAATTTTGGCATTCAAAGGATTCAAGGGAAGGACATGATATTATAACCATTGGAACGGGTTTTGGGACTTTGATTAACTTAAATAGAATCTATTAACTTATTAAAGGAATAAAAAAATAAGCCTCCATGTTTGCTCTTATGGCCTATAAAATCCCACATTAATTGGAGGAAAATAAGAAAAAAATAAAAGTCAATCCGAGACGGTACCACATTAACCGTAGAAAAAAAGAAAAAAAATCAATTGGACACCCTATAGATTGCTTACATAGTAAATAAGGATTCTTTTTCAGTTTGGAAATAGTATTTTATTTTGGAAAACAACAATCATACATGATTTATCAAAGTGAAATAATCAGAATCAGTAACCGAGTATTGCATATGTATCTATTCCGAATTGTACTCTCTACATTCATGTCAAAAAAATACATAGACTTAGCAACCAAAGCAAAATACAAACACACAAAACAATCTACCAAAGCTACGTTT